CCTTATAACCCTCAAGGACAGGGCATTGTGGAACGTGCCCATCGTACACTCAAATCATATCTGATTAAACAAAAGGGGAGTATTGAGGATGTTCTACCCTCGGTACCAAGAGTTGCTGTATCCATGGCACTTTTTACCCTTAATTTCTTGAACTGTGATGCCCAAGGCCACACTGCGGCTGATCGCCACAGTTTAGAGCCTGATAGGCCAAAAGAAATGGTAAAATGGAAAGATGTCTTGACTGATCTCTGGAAAGGCCCGGATCCTATTCTTATAAGATCCAGGGGAGCTGTGTGTGTTTTTCCACAGGAGGAAGAAAACCCCCTGTGGATCCCTGAAAGACTCACTCGAAGAGCTCCTTCACAACTCCAGAATAAGAAGGATGGAGGCCAAGTGGGTGATGAAGACTCTCCTACTCGGGATGATGGTTCCTAGTATGATGGGAGAGTTACGGTGGGCCATCATGTCTACCTTCCCCTACCGATGCCAGTGATGCAGAATGCCCAGGTGTTCCCTAGATTTTTCACAAATAATAGAGAGTTGGGGCTTGCCTTTTTGCCTTTAGATCCTCAGATACAGAGTTTTCAGGATGAGAGAACCTTGTCATTAGTAGGAAGCTTGTGCTTTACTGTGATTTCTTCATTAAAGGATAATTTTATTCATATGGATCCAGAAAGATCTAATGCTAATCCTTTTGAATTAATGGAAGCTGTACTGATCTTTCTCCTATGATAGTGAGAAGGGACAGATTACTTTTGATTGGAAAGGGGCATTAGGCAACAGTCTGAGTGAGGGACAGAGCTCTGGATCATCTGATTGGTCCTCCTCCAATGTTAAGTATACCCCTTTTAAGAGAACTAATTATTCAGCTGCCCTTTATTTGGGTTGTGAGTAATGATACCTTAGGTAAGAATCAGAAAGAAATAAATTGTTCTGCTTAGAATTGTTTTTATGCATTATGCTGGGATGCTATTAAGCACCCTTTTGCTTTGGTAATGCGCATGCCTCGATTTATTCCAGCTCCTGTTGAGGCGCCAAGTAATTTGAGTTTGTTTAGGGAAAAGCGAGATTTTTGGGATCTCTGCTATTATTGTGGGCCTGATAGCCACCGCCGCGGTTACTGCTTCGGTTACCGCCTCGGCCCTTGCACTTTCTGCCACTGTGCAGACAACTCAAACCATTAATGAACTATAGGCCACTGTGACCATGGTCCTAGATAAACAGGCCACTGCCAATTCTCAGATACAAGGAGGCCTGATGTTGGTAAACCAACAGATTAATTTGGTTCAGGAACAATTGGATATATTGTGGCAGATGGCCAAATTGGGATGTGAACAAAGTTGCCTGGCCTTTGTGTCACTTAGTACAATATGAGAATTTTACAAGAGCAGCTAACCTGTCAAAAGCTCTGTCTCAACATTTATTACAGAATTGGACTTTTGAGTTTGAGCAGACACTCCGTGAGTTGAGAATGGCGATCCTGCAAGTGAATTCGACGCATCTGGATCTTTCTCTGATGGAAGACCTCTCCCCTGGATTTCATCTGCATTTTCTTATTTTAAGGAATGGGTGGGGGTAGGATCATTTAGCCTAGTTCTCTGCTGTGGAATAGTGTTGATGCTTTGGATGGTGTGTACGCTCAGAGCCCAAACAAAAGGAGAAAGTGGTGGTGGCACAAGCACTTGCTGCCTTAGAACACGGAGCATCCCCTGACATTTGGTTAACCATGTTAAAGCAATAGGTCGCTGGCCTCCCAGCTCTTGCACCCCACGAGGCTAGTCTCATTGCACGGGATAGAGTGGGTAGGCTTCAGCAGCCCAAGGAGTTGCAAGGCTAAGCACTGCACAGGAGAGGTCTGCGGTATAACGACTTTCTCCTGGGAGATAAGTCATCTTGCATGAAGGTTCTATGTCATGATCTCCTTCCCCCAGAAAAAAGACATCGGACTGGTCAGGACTTCCTCTGGGGATAAGACCCTGGAGAGGAGCTTTGTACATGTTCCGAATTTGCACATGGGGATTTGACCTCTATCTCCACTCCAAAGTTGTGGGTGTCCTATTGCTTCAAAAATAAATGAATAGGGGGAGATGTGAGGAGCCGCCCTCGCTATCGCTATTGCCGTTAGAAGATGGCGCTGACATCCACTGTCAGTTGGAGTTAACTGTCGCTGTCAGTTGGAGTTAACTGTCGCTGTCAGTTGGAGTTAACTGTCGCTGTCAGTTGGAGTTAACTGTCGCTGTCAGTTGGAGTTAACTGTCGCTGTCAGTTGGAGTTAACTGTCGCTGTCAGTTGGAGTTAACCGTTTAAACTGTGCCTCTCCCGTGACGTCATCTGGGGTGATGTGCAAACCACCAATCCCGGCTCTACACATCTCACTCGGAGCTCCTAGGCTTATATAAGGGGCTGGGTTTCTTAGCTTGGGGTCTCCCTCTAAGAAGCTGATCATCTATCTCTCAAGATGCATTAAAGCTTTACTGCAGAAGGATCCGAGTGTTCTGCGTCGTTCTTGCTGGCGAGACGGTAGCGCGGGACAATGGAGGACACCTGACGTAGACTGCTGACCTCCACAAGCACATGCACATAACACATACATGTGCAGTCACTACCTCCACGTGGTCATGTACCTACACCACATGCAAAAGAAAGTTATAAGAAATGTGTACCAGTTAAAAACTCAACATGTAGGAGAAAGGTCAGATTAGAACACTTAAGAGAATGTAGGCTAGCTTGGAAGGTGGCCTGGAATGAAGACAGTGAGATCACTGAGACAGAAGGGAACCTTGGTATGCTTTACACAGGAGCTCAAGAAAGAGGGGGAGGGTAGGGGGACGTGGGGAGTCAATATTTCCAAAGATACTGCCTGAGAATTTTCTAGAACAGGTATAAAAGAAATTGAGGAAGCACTGTTATCAAAGGAAGACACGAAAATCTGGACACATTATAAGAAAAAGCAGCCAAAGGCAAAAATCAAAACAGAAAAGCACATAAGAAAGAAAGACGAAAAGAAACAGCAATTCTCTCAACAGCAGACTTTTCAGTCCCAACAATAGAAGTCAGAAGTCAGTGGAACATGGAGGCTTGCAGAATGACCTCATTCACTTTACAAGCTAAAAAGAATGAGGAAACAAATAAAGGCTAAGTCACAGAGCATGCCTAGGGACTACTCCTAAATTCCAGAGACAGGAAGAGCTGGACTCAGTGGGTTGTGACCCAGGTAGTTACTTGGAGCCACTCCTAATCCAAGACTCGGATGTCACTAACTTGAGACTTCAAATTTTGAACAGAAGGTTACATGGGTTTTCCAAATCATGTAGACAGTCCTATATGTAGGGTCTGAGAAACAGGTACAACTCAGGAGCAAGAGAGCAAGCAGCCTTCTGTGTAGTGTGTCGACCAGTTCAGTAAACAAAGCAATCATGCAGGAAAAAAATAAAGACACGTTTATGCAAACATACTTGATGGACTTTTACAGCAGATAGTGCCCTGCTCCTTTGTGCATAGGTAAGGGGGAGCAGACTAAACACATTTAGAGACAACCCCTGGAAGAAGCAAGAGTCATCCAGAGCTCACATCTGTTAAGCCAGATGTCATGCACAGTGCTCCAAAGACCTCAGCGTAAAAGAGAAAGCAGAGAAATTGTGTCACCAGAAAGAAAACCATCTTTGTCAGACATGTTGACACACGCAGTCAACATTGGTGTCACTGTGGTGTCTGAATATTATTGCAACTAATATCAGGCAATTAGAGACACATAAACACCAGTAGAAAAAATATCCCTAGGAAATCACCCTTGTGGTACTTCAAATGGGACAAGGAGCTGGTAATAGGTATTGCAAGGGAAAGCTGCGGTAAAAACTTCAATGATGGAGTCTGAAGAGATGGCTCAGTATGTGAAATGTTTGCTGTGCAAGCTTGAGGACCTGAGTTCGGATCCCCATCATCCAGATGCAGGTAGCACATGCCTGTAATCCCAGTAGTGGGGCAAAGAGACAGGAGGATCTGAGGCCCAGAGGCCACCAAGTCAAGACGATCAGTGAGTTCTAGGTTCGGTGTTACCAAAGGAATCTGGTGATACCAAGACGGTGTCTTCTAAAATTGTATTAGTATGAAGCTATCTGATTTATTATTTTTTTCTAAAGACTTAACCTAGCCTTAAACGACAATGGTGCCCATTCACTGAAATATTTTCCCACTGGTACCCCAACTTACAATGAATGGATAGTTAATTGATTCAATTGTATTGTATTTGTAGATGTCTTGATCTATCAAACAAAAAGAATTATCGACACAGCAGAAATTTAGTTAGTTAGAGAGTGAGTATCTTTTTTTTGGACAAACCATTCTGAGCTATAAAATAGCCTTGTAATATCAAAGCAAACCAGAAACCTCTCACCTTGTTTCTGTGATTCTGTGGGGAGTGATGGAAGCAGGTGACAAGTTAAGACAAAGTGGGAGAGAGAAGAGACAGACAAACTGGGAGGGTCTCTGGGTTGTACTTGGTGTCAGGATCCAGTCTGCAAACAGATTTTTTTAAAGAACAGCCCATGAGAGCCTCATTGAAGGGGAAAGGGGAAACTTCTCAGTGAATTTAGGTGAAACTAAATGAGAATTTGTAAACAAACGAATTGGTGGGCTGGGGACATAACTCCAATGGTAACATGCTTGCTTTACAAGCGCAAGGACCTGAATCTGAGCCTCAGAACCTATGAGAAGAAGTTAGGGGTGATAATGTGGGGTGCTTGTGATCCCAGCACTGGGGAGCTGGAAAGGGCAGATTCCTGAGGCTCTCGGTAAGCTGATCTAGCCTATTTCATGAGTTGCAGGCCAGTGAGAGACCCGTCTCAAAAAGCAAAGTGAATGGTGCCTATGGAACAACACCCCAGGTTAATGTCTGGTCTTCTTACACACATACACACACACACACACACACACACACACACACACACACACGCGCACACATGCGCACATGCGCGCATGCATACACATGCACACATGCTCGCAAGCACACACACAAATTGTCTATAAGTAATGTGCCAATTTTGCACACGTAAGCAAGACTTCTTTGAAAGTCTATCAAAATAAATTTCCCCAGTGGACCCAGGATGCCTTTTCTCAGGCAGGAAATGAGGAATGATGTTGCAGACCAAAGGGAGATGTTCAGAAAACGATCTTCAAATTAGCTTCGCGTGAGCATGGCCTGAGTCCTCTTCTCCTTCCTCTGCTTGTTCCTCACTCCCATCCATGTGGTGACATCCTCAGACCGCCTCTCTTCTCCTAGAACCAGCTGCGGTTTGCAGAGGTAAAGATACACGGAATGTTTCAGTAGGGGACAGAGGAGTAAAACTTGCTAAGACAGAAGTACGGCCTTTGCCTCCTAGATTCCTCCTGGATCCTTCAAGTCTTCCTCCTTTGAAGACTCCTTTGGGTTGGCTCTGATGGCCAAATGCCCACTCTTTCTTCCTCCAGGCACTGCTTGGCATCTTGAGTGAGCAGTGACGTTTCTTCCCAGCACTGTTTCTCCCAGTGCTTTAGAGATGCACATTTCGGGGAAATAAAAAGGAGAACAACCCTCTTTCTTTCCTCTGCTTCCCAGGAGAGGAGGCCGACCGCAGAGGCTGACTTGTTGGCCGATACCCAAGGCTCCAGATGAACCACATGGATGACTGTTCTTTCCACTTCCAGGAAACTAAACCCCATGAAACAAGAGTCATGCTGCAGAGATACACGCTAGGCAAGCAGGGGGCCATGAGGACTATGGAGACAAAGGGGACAGGGTAGCACTAGCTGCTGGTGGTGGGAAAGACCCGCCTCTTTCTTTGCCCACACAGGGTTCAAAGTTTCTAGGTGAAGACCTTCATATTCAGCTGGGAGGTGGTCTCACAGGGCAGGGAGGGCGTTTCTCCAGGTGTGACAGATGCTGGATACGCTGAGACATCTCCAGGTGATGACAGGTAAACAAATCGGAAAGCAGTTTACCTTTTGCTCCTACTACTTGCTTCTACTCTGGGCACATGTGACTAGGGACACACAGATCCCAGGGCCATGTCTGCAGGAAGAATGGTCATTTATTTGTATTATTTGCGTATTTTCAGTTAGAGTCACATGTAACCCAGGATGACCTCAGATTCACTATGCAGCAAATAATAAGCTTGCCCTTCTGATTCCCCTGTTTCTGAGATTACAGATCATGTTCACTGAGCTTGGTTTACTTGGTGCTGAGCAAGTATTCTACCAACTGAGCTACACACCGACCTCATTTTTTTTAAGCAGGGACAGTTCTTGCTACTTGGACCTGAAATCCACCCCAAGTTGTTTCAGGAAATGGTAAACTGTAAGCACAAAAAGCAGAGAATTAAGCCAAGTACAGGGCCTGAGTGTGGGTGAATGACTGCGGGGAGGTGGGAATGCGGCTCAGTGCTGTGGGGGGGGGGAGGTGCAGCTCAGTGCTGCAACCAGCACAGCCTATGGGATCTTGTGGAAGAGACTTCTGCGAACACCCAAGATGCTCCTTACTCCAGCAGTCCCCACTCTCTGAGCAGGCTCCTTAGAGAAGTTTTTCCTTGAGAAATCTGCACATGACTCCTTACACCAAAGTGGCTACTGAGGGCTGCAATTCAACAAGACTGGGACATGCAGCCTCTGAAACTTCTTCACACCTGAGCCTCCTGCACTTGTAAAAAGTTGCAGCTGTTGGGGGATTTCAGTGTGAGACCATGTGCAAAGGGCTTAGTGCCCTACCCAACATGTACAATAGTTAGCAAATACTGGTCAGTACCACCTTACAATCGTCAGACACTGAACATCGTGGCCTGAAGGTGGACAATAAGGCTCAGTGGTGGAGTGCACAAGGCTCTGGGTTCGATTCCAGGCTCTGTCAATGAGAGGGGCATAAAGAGAAGGGAAAGGGAGGGCAGAGGGGAAGGGAGGAGAAGTAAGGGGGAGAGAAGAGGAGCCCCTAGTTACAATCCTAAATTCTCATTCCTATGTGGGAGTGTGCCTGCATGATCAGTTAAGTTGCAACCTGTCACTGGTCAGTGTCCCTCTGATGATGAGCGCTCACACAACTGTAGCTTGGACTCTCTGGAGAACCTATGAGGACTTCACCCTGGGGGGAGGTGTCCTCCCCTCAACCCTGATCAAAATGTGAAAACCAGTGATAGTGACTGGGGAGATGGCTCAGAATGTAAAGTCCTTGCTGTGCACGCATGAGTTTAGATCCTCAGAACCCACATAAATGACATAGTGGTGAACATTTGCAGCCCTACGACTGGTAGGAGATGTGTAGAGAAAGGCAGAACTACTGAGCTTACTGACCAGTCAGTGCAGCCAGATCTGTAATCCGCAGGCTCAGTGAGAGACCCTGTCTGAAAAAAAGTGGGGAGCAGCTGAGGAAGACATTTTCATTGACTGTTATCCTCCATATACACATGAGTGCACACACACACACTATTATACTATGCCACCTGATTTTTAAACACACACACACACACACATAAGCAACTTCCCTCATGCCCAAAACAAAGAGCACTGAGGAACAGCTCACACCACTGAGAACCTAACATTTCAAGAGGACCTGGAAAATGAAAGAAAAAAGTTCAAAGACCATGATATAAGTTTTGTTTAGATGGACAAAGGATATGAGGGGAAGCTCACAGAAAAGAAAAAATGTACACAGACAGACAGACAAACACACACACACACACACACACACACACACACACACACACACACACATTGAAACAGAGCTCGATCTTACTGAAGAAAAGTAAGGCAAATTTAAACTGTGATGTGTCCAAGGGTAAGGAAAGAGGTCTATGCGTAGCTTATGACTCCTGTTGGAGTATCTGGAAAGCTTATCAAAAATATAAATACACCTACTCTTTGCCCTAATTATCCTCTTATTGGAATTTGTCCTCTAGTTGCAGCAGCAACATGGAGGAAGTGCCCTGGTTTACAGTTTGCAGTAGCAAAAGATAGGAAGCAAACCAAACACCTAAGGGTAACCGCCAATGGGTAAGATCAATTTATTGTGGCCATAAATAAGATACTCTAAGGCTGTAAAGATGAGCAGGGACATATTTATGTGCTGTACTGATTTAAAAGATGTCCAAGATAGGCAGCTCAGTTAAAAAAAGCAAAGTCCCCCTCATTCTTCACAGAGCACTCGCTGGTGTCAGCCTTGACGTTGGTGACTCCATTACTGCCTCCACTTGCACTCCTCTGAGCACAGTGAGACTGAGCCTCCTTCCATTATCCTAAGATCCGGTGAGTCTCTCCATTATGCCAAAGAGAGGAAAGAGAAGAAAAGATTTGTGTGCGTGCACACACATACAAACACATGCACCCACATACACGCGGAATCTGGCCTGTATTTAATAAAGACATCCGAAAACCTAACACAAGTAACCCCGTTAGGCCAGTTGATAGGAGCAAAGAAAAAAAATCCATGTTTTCTGTCATTTTGAGCTATGAACCTAGAAAATGAGTTGTTGGTTCAAAACCAAAACTGAACTAAATTAAGCCTTGCCATCACCAGGTTCTTGTGGTAAGAAGACCATTACCACATTTGCCCAGTACCAGTCCCTAGACTCCACAACTGACCCTGGAGAAAGGCAGCTTTAGGTCAAGGAACAGTACATAGACAGAGAAGCCCAAGAGATCCAGAAAGATCTCCACGCACAGACCAACTTCTGCTTATTTGCAAGACATCAGGCCAACAGAGGGACTGCTCTGCTTCTGCAAGCATGGCCCATGCCCACTTCCAAATGACACCGGCCACTAGCAGGGATATTTATGTGATTGGCTGAGGAAAAGAAAGACTTCCAGCCCTAGACTATTCCTCTCCAGCAGCCAGTGGGACAGCTGAATCCACCCTGACCTGCCTCCCTTGTGGGCTGAGCTTCCCCCTGGATTATAACTGCATTCTTTTACCATCTCTGACTCTGTCAGCCTCAGGTCTTAGACATTTCACCCCAACGGCCCTCTGATTACACCTTTGCTTCTCCCTTTGCAAAAGAGCAATGCTGGCCTAAACACTGCAAAACAAGACAGTGCTGCATCTGAAACCCATGGAAAGAAAACAGCCACAACCTGGCAGGCCTGAATACTTGTAACTTCTCCCCGGGATTCTTCCAGTACTACCAACTCAGAGCAAGTGTTGGAAGTTAGCAACCAGCTGCCTCGGGGAAGAATGTGGGGACCACTATAGCTGACTTAAAGGAAGAGATCTGAGCAGGATGGGATGGAGCAGGGGACAGGCACCAGGCTTCCCCAGGGCCTCCAGTTCCTACCAGCCTGAGTTAGCCCGGAGACAACAAGCTGAGATGGTTTGATGGCACTCCAGGTCCAGGGTTCTTGTAGTGATCTGGAGGGAGGGAGTTCATAGAGGCTGACAGAGTCCCAATCTGTACTGCAGAGGCTAAGCAAGGACCAAGGTCCCAAAGACCCTGGCAGCATTGCTACCTCCTTCTATGACAAAGAGCTACAGGCTGACCATGACTGTGACATCACAGAGCCATCAACCTCTCCCAACATATTTGCCCAAGGGACATCTGGAATCCTTCCATAACAATATCTCAACTTGTATTTCTATGAGTCTCTTTTTTTAACAATTAAGAACTTCAGAAGAAATGACTCGGGTGTGACTCACAAACTCAATGACCAAGGAAAGGACAAAAGAGGACCTCTGGTACCAGTGACTCACATGCTTCCCAGGAGCGGCAGGCTCTGTGATGTTTTTCCTGGTGTTTTGAAAATGTTAAATGTCCATTATATCAAGTAAGACATTGCCATTTAGAGTACCCAAACCACACACAGAACAGTCACAGTGAACCTGTTGGAGGACAGGACCATTCCTCACCCAACACACTTGACATTCCACTCCAGGGTCACAACAAAACACAGCCTCCAAGAGGCACTCCAAGAGGAGTAATCAGTTCCACACAAGAGCCCCTGTGTCATGGCTAAGAATGGAAGAGCTTCTGAGACAGGTAGCACATCCCCTCCTAAGCACCATGTCATGCCCTGAAGCGAATGGCGTCCTTCTTTGGGTGAAGTGTGCATGTGTCCATCCAACTCCCTCCTACCTCCTCAGTACCATGAACCAAAAAAGGGGAGCTAAAGCCTTCTAAGCCAGGAAGACCCTACTGGTGACATCAGGCAGGACATGTCTGCAAGTCCCCCCTGCAGAGCATCACTCGTCACTCATTCATCCCACAAGTCAAAAGTCCCTCCTCATCAACCCTGGCACTCACCCCTGAGGCCTGCTCCAGTTCCCCTGTGCGACTGAGTCAGACTCACAGTGAAACCCTCACCTCTCATTCCTCCAAGCAGAGCAGAAGATAAGAGACGCCTTTCCTTCGGCCACCATTTCTTCAGTTGATGCTCACACAGTACCGGCTGTGTGTCAGATCATGCTTTCACTATGACCCCCCAGTAGATCTCGAGCATAGTAAGGCTCTGCTGGTTCCCATGGACCAATAGTCCCATCTCTCTGACTGGGGAACCTGCAACTCAAGGGCCCTCATTAGTGACTGTTGAGACCTGCTCCTCATGGGTCTTAGATGAGACTCAGAGCCCTCAAACTCCCACCAACATGCCAAAAGAAATCCTCAAGAAAGGGAAACCCCATGCAATGTTTCAGCCTGAGATGCCCTTGAAGGATGTCTTGGGGGCCTGGTGGCCAGCAGTGATAGCTAATGTTGATTGTCAACATGATAGATCTGGACTCACTTAGGCGTCAAACTCTGGCCACACCTGTGAGGGATTGTCTAGAGTGTGCTAATGGAGGTGGAAGAGCCACCCTAAACATGAGTGGCACACTGCAAGGACTGAGGTCCTGGACCGCACGAAAAGAGAAAGCAAGGGGTGGTGGGATGGCCCGGTGGGGAAAGGTACTTCCTGTGCAATCCTGACAACTGAGCTAGAGCAAGCCCCAGAACTCAGGTGAAGCTGACAGTGAAAACTTCTCCATGCGATTACCCTCAAACCTCCACATGCGTACCATGGAGTACGCGTGTGCACCGTGTGTAAGCATGCTTGGGAGTGAGCACACACAATGACAATGATAATGATAGCAATAGTAACATTAATAATAATAGTAACAATAACAACAGTAGTACATGTTGAAAGGGGGAAAGTGAGCACCAGCATCACCTCTCTCGGCTTCCTGAATACAGATGTGGTGTGACCAGATAATTCAAGCTCCTACTGCCATGCCTTCCCCTCCGTGATGCCCCTGAACTGTGAGCCAACATAGATTCTTCCTGCTTTAGGCTGCCTTTTCAGGTGTTTTGTTGCAGCAATGAGAACGAACATACCAGCTGATGGGCTCTGGGGAAGTGATTAAGGACTCTAGCCTAATCAATGATTGGTCCCTTCATGGATTTATAATTTGATGGTACTATTGGATGATGGCAGAAAGTAGGAGGTAGGGTCTATTGGAGGACATACATCACTGGGATGTGTCCCCTGCCCCCTTTTCTCTGCTTCCTGGCTGCCACCAGGTGAGCCATGTCCCTCTATTACACCCTTTTGCCATTATGCTTGCCCTAAAGACACAGTTGAAAACAATGGTGCTGGCCATGGACTTTTGTCTAGGAAACCATGAGCCAAAATAAACTCTCCCTCCTTTCTAATTGTCTGTCTCGGGCCTTTGTCACAGAGTCAAAGACTAACATCTCAGATAGAGGTGATGAGACTCCAGAAGCTATGTACTAATGTATAGCCTCCTGACAGCCTGCTGCCCAACTCTGCCAAGAGCCCATAGTGAACAGCCACTGACAGAGGGCCCTGGGGGTATGCCAACTTCCACATTGCTCCCGTGGGAACTTCAGGGCCTGGAAAAGAACACCCTGGGTCCCTGAAATGATGCAGGTGGATGGGATAGCCAGGCATTGAGTGCCTTTGTGTACCTGTTTGCCCACACCAGAATCACAGGGTTAGGGATGAGACAGTGAATACAACACAGGTGGGATGAAAACGCCAGAGAATTGTAGGTACGCCCAGGCTGAGCCATGCCTCATAAATCAACTTTGCTAGGCTGTTCAGACTCAGAATCTTCTGGGTGCTGCTGTGAGTCAAGGGTGCTGTCATCTCAAGGCTTGGCTGGGACTTGAGAATCCACACCCAAGATGGCTTCATGGTTTTCCATTTGACAGGTTGGTGCTAGCCACTGGCAAGGGGCCTTAAGACTTTCCTACACTGGACTTCCATGTGACTGATGGAGTGTCCTTCTAAGGAAGTAGCTAGCTTCCTCCGCAGTGACCCAAACAAACAGACTGGAAGATACCATATATATATGACTCAGAGGTCACACATGGTGATTTCTACAAGTTGGTTACCAGGGTCAGGCCTCCTCCATGTGGGAGGGGACTCACAATCCAAGTGCTAAGAAGCAAGAGCCTCTGGGGCCGTCTCTGAAGTATAGCTGCCATGGAATGTGCCAGAACAAAGACCTTAGCCCAGCTAGCAGTTATTCCACCAGGACCTTGTAGTCCCCGCACTACTCTGCTTCCTTATCTGTGGCTTTTCTTGCATAACTCACAAGTTATCAAGTGGTTGCCAAGGGACACAGAAGTCTGCTCAGGAAAGCAGTGAGACTGCCAGCATTAAGGAATAATGGGTCCAATGTTCACTTCTTCAAATAGATCAAATAATACCACAGAGGGTCAAAGGTCTCCTGCAGCCCAGTCTTCCTCCTTCCCTCTCCAAGGGCCCATTGAAATGTTTGAGCTTACTACAGACATGGTGGCCAAATATCAGAGGAATGGGACAACTTAGGGTATAAAAATGCTGGGGACTTTCACTACTTATTCTTTCAACCTGACTGCTTAGTATTTGTCCTGAGTTTGAGGAACCCCAGGAGAAATAAAAGAAACAGAATGAGAGTAAATTGCAATAACTGTACAAGCAGCCTATAATCCACAGGTCCAAAGTCATCATTATGTACAGTACTATGACAAAATACCTGGCAAAAGCAATTTAAGGAAGGAAAGGTTTGCTGGCTCACAGTTCCAGGGAACACAGTCAATCATGGAGGAGAAGGCAGTGGGGGCAGAGGGCTAGAGGAAGCAGGAGGGGATTGGTCACATGGCAACCACAGTCAGGAAGCAGAGACAGATGAATGCTGGCACTCAGCTTGCTTTCTCCTTTTATTTAGTCTGGGACCCCTGCCCCAGGCCAATGGTGCCACCCACATTCAGAATGGGTCTTCACACCCAATAAACCTAATCTAGATAATTCTTCACGGAAATGCTCAGAGCCTTGTTTCCATGGTGACTCTAGATCCTGTTAAGTTGACAATTACCACCACAGATGGACTCAATGACTGCCCATGGTCATGGTCTGGGAGCTCTGGTTGGGTGTCAAGGGACTTGGCTTTATAGATGTTTCATATCTATCATTAGTGAAGGGACTCCCAGCTGAGAAGAGAAATAGTATTTTATAGAATTTCTCATAGCCAAGACTGCTGTTGACTCATCCAACACCTTAGGCCTTCCTTCCTGGTTCCCCATGCCCCCCAAAAAAACATTTATACCTGCTCCCACACAAGCTGCCCACAGCTGACCCCAGCCTCTTCATTACTCTTGGCCTCTTAGACTGCTAGCGTACACCTATAGACACCCATCTGGCTGCTTCCTCATGGTGCTGGCTGCTTTCTTGGGGAGCTATTCTTTGTCCAGCTTTCCTTGGTCTGATCATGTGACTATGCCCTCCACCTCTCTCCATCTCTCTCTGATCTCCTTTCTCCCAGTAACTGAGAAATCCACTCACCCCTGAAACGACTTCTAAAACGCCCAGTCCCACCTGAGTTGCAAGTGCCAGGTCCTGACCCCAGCTCTGATGTCTACGAGCCTGGCTTCCTGCATGCCTCTGAAAGGACTCAGGTCAGCCTCTGTCTACTCCTCACCTACCCCTCACCCTATCCAACCATCTACCAGTCTTTTCCTACACAGGGGACACAGTGCATCATGGAAGAGAAAGTGGTGGGGATGAGGGGGAGCAGGAGGGAATTGGTCACATGGCAAACACAGTCAGAAAGTCACACCCAAACTCTAATACTGGCATTTAAATCTAAAATGACTACCATGAGCATCTGTTTTGAACACCTGGCCCCTTTAAGGGATGGGGCCTAGATGATGGAGGTAGGTCACCAGGGGACAGGCATTGAGAGCTCCAGCCCCAGCCATGCTTCCCAGCTCATCTCTATCTGCTAGTCAGCTACCTTCATCTCCCACTAACACAAGGCTCCCGCTGCCATGTCTTCCCTGCCACGGTGGCCTGAAAGCCTCCAAAACCTTGAGCTAAAATAAACCTGCCATTGTTGCAGCTGTGAAAAAAATTACTAGGACATAGCACCAGCCTCTTCCAAAGCTCTTCCCTGTTTGGGGCAGAGTTCCAAGTGATTCACACACCCCAAATCATGTGATGCAGCAACGCCAACAGTTCACAGCCCTA